CATCAAAACAGCAATAAATCAGGTGGAACAGCAGTTGTCGCCCTGTCCTGTTTTCGTGTTACGGGTTTTACGTCAATCACGACGATTTGCGGCACTGTCATTACTCTTTGGTCATAGTTACAGGAAGCGGAATTTCTTGGGTTTTTTTTTAGCCTGAGGCTATTGACAGGATCGTCCTGTCAACAGCAGGAAATACTGCACTGCTGACAGGATCGTCCTGTCAATAGCAGAAAATACTGCACTGCTGACAGGACGATCCTGTCAATAGCAGAAAATATTGCACTGCTGACAGGACGTATCCTGTCAATAACAGGAAATAATGCATTGTCTGACAGGATCGTCCTGTCAGCAGTGCCATTTTTGACACTGTTTGACAGGATCGTCCTGTCAGCAGTGCCATTTTTGGCACTATTGACAGGATTTTTTAAATCTTCCATTTTGGGCTCTATTGACATGATTTCTTCTTTGTTTTCATTTGTTTAACCAGTCAGAAGGCATATGCTACTGTACTGCAGATTAGGCGTTTCACGATGGCGGCTATCATCACGTTAACAGTTATCAATACAGAGTTCTCCAGCAGATATATGTCAAAACTAGACATGTTCAAAATATAAATACAAGCGAATTTCATGCATAAGCTGTCTGAAATACGAAGGCGGTTACATAAGATGAAGACAATAAAAAAGACAAAAAGAAGTTGATCTCTATCCATTATTTATTCTTTCAACAACTTCGAAATCAAATGGAACAAATCCAGGAAAGTACCGCTGGTGTGGCCGGTTCAGCTAGCCGGCCCGCTAACAACAACAGCCCCCTGGCGCGCGTATCCAGCTGGCCACCGAATTTTACCGGCCCCACTGGGTCCCACAGTACCGACAAAGGTACGCTGCAGGGCCTGGCACGCTGGTTAGTGTTACTGGGGGGCGGGTTGTTGTGTTGCTGTTACTGTTAGCACGCCTGGCGGTAGCCGTGGACGACTCTGGTACATCTTTTTGCATGATACCGGCATTATCATGCAAAAAGGTGTACCAGAGTCGTCCACGGCTAGCCTGGCGGTTAACCCTGGGTGCCCCAGAGTCCGGCGTTTATTTGGCGATAGATTTCGGGAGAAACCGTATTTGTCCGCTACCATTATCCACCCAAACCCCTTCGTCCACGCGAAGCCCTCTATATAAACGCCTCATGCGCGAGGAGATATTTAGAATTTAGACCCAGTGTGCCAAGTAGGTCTGCCGGGAGTATGGCTTCCCGTGACTTTTACTTAGGAGATAGACACTCGCGCGCGGGGTGGCACCCAGGCTAGC